ATTCTAGAAACGTTGCGTCACGTGGTCATGTGACTCGCTGACGCAACAATACCAACTTTCTGATTTTAAAACCAATATAACTTACCATTTCAAGTATATAAACTTTCAGAACTTTAGACTTTCCTTAAGCTAAAAAAAAGAAGATTATTTGAATCCTTGCTTCAAATACTTTAATATTTTTAAGTATATGAGCATCCATATCCCCAAGCATTAAATTCCTCTATATAGTTCTTAAAACTTTTGGTTCATGTTCAAGAAACTTCCAAATGCATATCTATATATAGGTCCGAAAATGTACAAACTTTGACATTTGCAAAGCTGAGAAAAAAATCTTATCTTCAATGAAACATCTATTACCTAATGAACATTTAAGTTTGAAACTGAAAGTATTTTTAACCAGCATAATTGGGACTATTGTGTGCACCATATCTTCCACTGATGTGTCACAGGTATGCAGATATCACAGTCTTAACATTTGGCTCTGGTTTTTCTCGTTATTGCATATCTTCCATTTGGACATTTAACATGTCTTTCAGTTAACAGTAAATGTGTCATTCTTCATTCACACTCATCAATTACAGTGCAAGACTATAGGGAAGGCAGCTAGTCATCACCACTCACCACCAACTCTTGGGGTACTCTTTTACCAATGAATAGTGGGATTGACTGTCACACTATAATGCCCCCACGGCTGAATGGGCAGGCATGTTTGGTGGGACAGGGATTTGAACTCAGGTTGTGAGTCGAGCACCCTAACTACCTGGCCATGCTGGGCTTGGTTATGTGTGTGAACAGTTTGGTTGCAGTGTGTTAAAAGTACAGTAAGCAGCAAGGATAAAATTATGTGACAAAACCAAATCTCTTAAAAAAAATCTCTAACATAGAGGTGTAAATTAAAGTGCAATAAAATGATTGGTTACATATTTTTTTGCTAGTGGAAATGGCTAACTTTATATTATGGCAATATGAATTTTTTCCACTAAAGTAGGGCACAGCAGTATGTCGCAGACTTATAATGCTAGAAACCGGGTTTTGATACCTGTGGTGGGCAGAGCACAGATAGCCCATTGTGCTTAACTTCAAACATACAAATATATAAGAAAGAATGAAAGTTTACATTTATGTTAAAATGTATGATAGTATGCTGAAGTAATATTTCATTAGAAGTACAACTTACGTTATTCATTTGCATTTCAAGCAAAATTAATATTTTCAATTATTACAATAATAAACCTATGGAGATTTGAAGTGAAATAATACTATTGCAATTAATTTTTGGTAAAAGTACACAAACAATTATTGCTGTACATGAAAATTAAATCTACAATAATGCTGTAATTAAAATACAGTAAATATATGGTGCAAATCTCAATCTGTAGTGAGTAAGATAACTATACATTTAAAGTTATACTGCAAGTAAAATATGGTAAAACTGAAGTAAAAATAAGATTTTACTATGGAAAGAGTAAAGTAAATTTCTAATGAAACTGCTGTAAATAAAAATAATTCAAATTCTGCAAACTGTAGTAAAGTGTGGTAATACATTAAAACTTCAGTGATATTTAGTTTTGGACTACATTTGTGATCTAAGTTACTACAGTAATATAGCAGTATATTATTTCAAAGAGTAGGATTATATTTAATTTCTGAAAGAGTGTGGTGAGAGTTTTAAAGTTTAAATTCAAACAAGTTCTTTTTTTAAGTTAGAGCGGCAAACTCAAGACCCTTTTGTGAAAAACTCATTTAGTACTCGGATAATGATATAAAGGAAAGTTCATGAACTAGTTTTATTGTGCTGGGTTGGAAGATTAAGGTAGACACAGATTGATACTGTTGCTAAGTCTGTATCAAGGAGGGTAAACTTTTCATTTTACTAGTAATTTATCACATCTGTTAAAATTTCATATTCTAACCAATGAAAAATCTTCTGTAATAATTCAATGTTGCACTTTCCTGAACTTTTTAACCAATTTTTAATATTTTATGAAACATGTATTAAATTACTCAAATGAAAATGGAACTTCACCTTTTCCTTCAAACATGTTATATTAAAATTAAACAACAGTAAAATATTAAATTTAATGTTTGATTTAAATGTCAACATTAGTGAAGTACTTATTAACTTTTATGGTGTAGAACACCTTCAGCTGACATAGCATATATTTGGTAATAATAGCTTTAATGTCATACCTGTAGTGTAGAAGCTCGTCATAAACATAATCAGATAGTTGAGTTTATTAAAAATAAAGGAAAATGACAAACATTCACTTGTTACAATGTATTTTGGAAGAGATAATGTGATATTATCTTGGGATAAGACTGATAATACTACTAAATCATATCATTCTTTAATGAAATTTAAATTATCAGTCTCACTGTGATGTAATATCACATGTACATGACTTCCAAAAATTAACTTTGTTTTCTCATTTCCCATGTGTATTACTTTTTTTTGTCTTTGGACACATTCCTTTTTGAATAACTTTCTTTTTTTGTCTTACTGATGAAACTCTTATTTTTTATACTAACATCTAAACCAGTACTGTTTATTTATGCTCTTTTTACTATTTCTAGAACTATGAGAAAGTTCTTTTTCATTCAAATATATATCAGTACATTGCATTTGTGCCCCTTATAAAGCATTTTCTAAGAGTTATTGTGTTTTCGCACAAATATATATATACTTTCCTGAAACAAAAAAACGAAAATATTTTTCTTAAACAGTACTTATTAACACATTTAATGATAGTAATATCTACCTTTCCATGGTTACAAAAGAATCATTACTGATGTAAAACAAGTTTTTTTTGTCCATAACATTAGCACATCAGGTACCATGATTCTAAAAATTCACCTTATTATTGGAGATATCTTACTGCAAGAGTTGGAAGATAAAGGTTTTTTGTTGAACCAGATAATACATTTATACACACAGTTTATTGTTGAATTTGAAACTATTTAATGACTAACTAGCAAAAGTGAGGGTACTCAAATATTGATTCAACATATTCTAATTATCTTAGGTTTCAGTCTTCATGTGTATAGAGTTACAACATTACATACTTCGTGGAATTTAATATACCACATTTGTTGCATTAACTTGCAAGTTGCATTTTAGTTTTATTTTTGATGTATACCAAGTAATAAAGAAAAAACAACAAGTTTTTTTAAGAAGTGAATAAAAATATTGCACAAAAAATCTATTAAAGAGGAATAGAAAAATCTCTAATGTATAGAACTATGTATTTTATGAATACATGATGTCAGTACAACACTTTTTTGTTAATTGTTTGGAATACAAAAATCAAGTTTACACAGATGACCACACAGGCAAGATTTCTAATGTATAGAACAATGTATTTTATCAATACATAATGTCAGTACAACACTTTCTGTCAATTGTTTGGAATTGACAAATCAAGGTTACACAGATGATCACACAGACAAGATGATTGTTTAATCTTTAGAACAGCTGGATGGTCAGATGGAGCTAGATACCATACCAAGCCAAATATACTTCATGTATCAAACCACTGATTTTACTACTAAAAACATTACTTAAAACATATAAAGCACAATAACTGAAAAATTATGTACAATTATGAAGCTGAAGAGAAAAACAAGGGAACTTTCAAATATGTATTTTCTTAACTATTTTACGTAGTTTTTCAACTAACTTATCTATTAGGCTAAAACAAAAACTGAATGATTATTCACAGCCATTGTCACAATATCCCCTTTATTTTCATGAATAGCTTTAATGTCATACCTGTAGTGTAGAAGCTTTATTTTTTCTTATTCAAGCATTGTGTTGTTGATTTTAATGCAGTTTCAGTGTCTCTTAGCAGTTCTTTATTATCCTTAGTTAAAGGAAATGGTATAGTATGTTGCTTTGAATTGTTGTAGGGTATCTGAGTGTTTTATTTGTAATGTTGATCCAAATTACTTGCAGAAAGATATTTTTTTTAATAAAGTCAAAAGAAGTAAGTATTTGTACTTAGTCACATTATCTCTTCCAAAATACATTGTAACTAGTGAATGTTTGTCATTTTCCTTTATTTTTCATAAACTCAACTATCTGATTATGTTTATGACTCCTCTCACTGTGAAATTTTATATATTTTTGAAGCTTAATATAGATTTAGAACTCAAGTGTCCCTGCTGATCAAAAAAAACAAAGTATTGAAACTAGAAATATTATGGGTGGCTTTGGAACTGTTAACATTCCAACAATCAGTGTGCTTGCAGTCTGAATGTACTGTTTGGGGTTTTATCCTTTGGATGTCTTCTATAGTTATTGATTGAATTATTTGTTTTCTGTAACACACAGTAATTCATAATTCACACAATTCTTGCCTCAAGGAATTGTTTCACTCATCTGGTTACTGTTGATTTTGGAATAGTACTTCCATCAGTGTGATTGTTATCAAAAACAGTAGCTGTTGTAGCACTAGTATGTCTGTATACTCTTGCCATACAGCAAGATATGCTTCAACATTCTTAAAACATGCTTTCTGCTGTGCATACTAGAAACTGTTGGCATACAGGCTCTTTTTCACCTAAACAATTTGTAGGTGACCAAATGGTCAATTCATGAAGGGTCTCTGTCACAGATAATTTCCTTCTGCACATCATCCTCCATGTACCCTCCAATTTTTACAATGCTTTGACAGTCTTGCACAAATTATGAATCACCCTGTACATACACTATACTGTATGCAGTCAAAGCAAAAACATTTTAGTTAATGATCTATATTCAAACATTTAACCAATTATTTTCAAAACACATTGAATTCTAATCAAAACTGATTTTTGTGTTCCACAAGACAATTAACTTTTTCATTTGAATTATGTCTACATGTGTGTGTATACATAAATATATCTAAATATTTAATTCAACATAAATAAGTGTGAACCTACTCGTTGTTCTGCATACAAATTGGAAGGTAAAACAAGAAACAAAACAAACCACAGTTATACATACACATATATATTATTATGCACAATGCAAGAGAACTCCAACCCACATATGCATATAATCCTACACAGAAAAAACAAAATTATTATTTTATGAACCTATATTTAACAAAAGTGCATATGTCACAAATATAGGAATACATAATAATGTCTCCACCACATTTTGGTCAAAGCCAGAAACTGTTGTCAATCTATTTAATTGTCCTAGATCAGCAATATTTTTAGGAATATTAACAATTTCACAGTAATGCCAGTTTTACATGTTTATCACTGTTAATAATTACAGTGAAAAAATAATAATCTCTCAGAAGAATATTGTAATACATACAACACCTATATCAATTAACAATCTCTGTAGTAATATCAATGTTGAAATCAACATTTTAAAACTTAAGGTTAAGCTTCAGTAACAGAGTGCTGATCCTGTTCTTTGTTTTCCTGATCATTTGGACTCTGCAATTCTTCAGGTTGCTGCAAATTCTCACTTGGATGCTGGATTTCATTGTCTGTTAAGTTTTCAGCAGATTCATTCCCCTTTTCACCAGGATTTCCTGTATCTCCTTCCATGACAATTTCTTCAGGATCTGGAGCTCTAGGAAGAAATTCTTCTGCCGGAAACATTTTTTGGAACAGATTACGTGCCTGAGAAGAAAAAACTTTCAGTAAGTACTATTGTTCCATAAAATATAGTTCTCTTAATGTAATCACAATTAACATTTTACAATTGCTTATAAACCTAAATTAAAACACATCTCTCACAAGTAGCTCCAAGGTACAAATTACAAAAAACAAATATATAATTTAATATATTGTTTAATTATTTTGTAGTAAACTGATTAAAAAAAATGTATGCTGTAAGTGCCTAAACTGCCTAAGCAGTAAATCTTTCTGGAAAAAAACTAAGAAAAACTGTTAAAAAGTTTTGAGATATATTTTCATTTACTTCAGGTAAGTGACCCAAAATCATTTCATAAAATACCAGGATCTTAGATGTAGTTTTTAGTTAGTTCAATTAAGGTTCCCCATAGATTTCATGAAATACCAGACCCCATTAAGTTGTACTGGAGAATAGGAGTAATTTAGATGGATTTCTATGTAACATAGCTTAAAACCTATAATGGAGTTAAAAAGAGTACATTATAAAATATCATCTAACACTGTTTTCCATCATGTTTCATAGATCTAATTAGTCATAGCAAATATCATATAAAGTACAAAAACTATATAACAGGTATGTTTAATACAAATGGAATGCTCCAACAATTAGGCTACTTAGTACATAACTTCATACACTGAATAAATTTAACATTCTCAAAGCATTCTATTAAGTGCTGTTCATTCTGTGTTCCTATAAAATATATTATCATCTCTGGATAGAGAACTGATTTTACATGCAATGCACATTGTATCTATTTGCTAGTATTGTAGTCAAATTAACACTATAGGTATTTATTCAAGAACAGGTTTCAGATCCAAATAAAAATTTTAAAAATATTTCCCTATTTTATTTTGTTTACAAATGTACTTACTTCTTTAACTGTAAGCTCATAATCTAAACTTTTTCCTGGTGATGATGTTATGATTGTTCCTGAAGGATTGTGCTCATTCAGATTTACAGTGGTTGTATCAAGTTCATTAAAGAACACACACCACAGAACTTCGGGTTCCATCACATCAGAAGAACCTGCACAGCCTGTGTTTACTAATGAACAGTAAGTAATAAAAAGTATGCTTTACCAAATGCAGTCATTTGCTTTAAAAAAAATCATCCAAAGCATAGCCATTTCTAAAAACTTAACCAAAGATTAATCTTTTATTACTGTTAAAGAGACATACAACCTTGTTCATGGAGATATTAATTTTTATAAAATGGTTTGTACACCCAGTAAATTTGTACATGCAACAATGATAAAAAAATTTTCTTATTTATTTTTATAATAATTACTTTGTTTTTATTCTGCTTCAATAATTTAGCTTTTTTATTTAATGAAACCAATTTTATGCATTGCATAAAAACATTTCTTTCATCTACTGCATATTGAGAATGAATATTTTTATTATTAATGTCTCACAGCATTGTGAAGACAATCTCACACATACAAACAAAAAAGTAATAAAACCAATAATAATTATATTTTATTTCTTGCAAAGTTTGGGCAACAATCTTCTGTAAACTTCAGTTAAGAGATAGAGCACACTCCAAAAGTGGAAACTAAATGCTCAATAAAACACGTGGTCTAAGACTTAAGAACAATACACATGCACTCTTGCACACGCCAATTCTGAAACATACCCCTTGAGATGAAATGATCTGAGAAAAGGGTTGCAGATTTATATTTAAACTTAGAACTACACATCCTCATGGATTTAATTCATTTTTTTTTTTAAATAATAATATTTTTTTTATACATATGAATTGTTATTACTGCCCAGTTTGAGATGTACATGTTATAGAAATTTATATCTTTTTATTATCAATAACAGCCACAATTACCGGTTTGTTTCAAAATATAAGATAACATGATGTACGCGTTGTTTCCTGTAGTTTAGACTTATGTTTGATTAGTAAAACTGAGCTATTTTGAGCTGTGCAGATTTTACTGAATATTTTTCAATATTTATTCTGTCAAAGTATAGACTACATCTGTAGTCTGACTTGTACTACCATGTATAAGTCAGTAAACATATCTTGTTAAACACTAAATGAGAACAATGTTCACCATCATGGTGGACTACCAACATCTGTAGTCTGATACTTTACTGCCATGTGTAAGTCAGTAAACATATCTTGTTAAACACTAAATGAGAACAATGTTCACCATCATGGTGGACTACCAACATCTGTAGTCTGATACTTTAATGCCATATATAAGTCAGTAAACTAGCTAGCTAGAAAGATATTAAAAAAAGAGAATTAAAATGTATTAGTCTTTGCCCACATTTCAGATTAGGCAAATACAAAACTCTGTCTCAATAATAAGATTCTCAATTAAATGAATGTACTTTAATATATGTTGCAGCAATGAATACTTACTTGTAAATGAAAGTAGGTGAGAAGAGATGCTTTATTACATAAATAAAATGTAACACATATTGAAGATATGGCCATGTGTTATTAGGAAAAAGAGAAAGTATTTTACAGCATGATATAAAATAAGTAACTTACATACCATCAGTATTCAGTGGACTAAACAATAGTTCTGCAGCTGGAAGCAAGTCTTCTTTGGCTGTCTCATGAACAGAGGGGCAATTCATATACACCACATCTGGAATTACATTAGTGAAAAACAAGCAAAATAATTTAAAGCTTATGCATACACAATAAGCTAAATATAAACACATATACAACATGAAGGAATTAATACATGTACAATCACCACCCTTATGAAACCAAGGTAACTAATTCATACCACCAGAAATATAAAAATGTTTTAAAAATAATTACTAAAAATGTGTTAACCATGAAACTAAACACAAAGTTCTAGACTGGTTTCACACGAACATATTAACAATAAGATCAATGGTCATGTTCTTAAACTAAATAAAATCACGGTAGGAAAATTATTAACAAAAATATACAATAAAAAGTAAAATAAATTTTGTTTTTTACTATAAAACTTTTATTGGACATTACAAGTAGTTCTTATTAACACTTTCAATGTATATTATATTAATCTTAGAACTTGATCAAAAAATGTTTTTTTTTCTAATACCTTCTTCTTCAGAAACAGCTGAAAAAAAAAATGGAGGTAAAAGCCTTTTCAAATGAAAAAAATGAGGATCCCAACCCTGAAAATAATTTGGGTAGTCAGGAATCATTCCATGGTAAGACTGACAGGTTTGGGAAAAATCTATATAAATATAATGGTATTGTTTGTTGTATGTTCATGTAACTACTTTAGAGGGTGTGGATGAATCTTCACCAAAATTGGCATGGAGGTTTATTAGGTCCATGTACAGGTTCATACAAATTTTCAATTTTGTGGTTGTTATGGGCATTTATTACCAATACTTTGCCCATGTGGTGAATTAACTACCACCCGGGCCCCCAGGCTGAGCTTTAGTAAGGCTCCCCCGATCTTGCCCCTCTGCCCTACCCTTCGTTGAATAGAATAAAGTGACGTTAAGTTACATTAAATAACTTATATCGTTGTACTATGTATAATCATGTATAATATCATAAAGTTATAAGAATCAATTACAGCCCTTTTATTAATTTATTTTTCATTTTCTTTACATTTGTAGTTAAAAAAACTTCAGTGTTTTTTGGTTTACAAAAGTGTCAATAACAGCATGTAAGTCAACAGATCGAAGCATATCTGATTCAATGTGCATGAGTGCCAGATGACTAAGTTTTCATCACTCATTGTTGAGAGCAAATAGGTTTTGATCCTCTTCAGTGCTGAAAATGAATGCTCAAATGAACAGTTAGTGATCGTTAAGGACAGATAAATTCCAAAGCAAATGTATGTATTTGGATACACCTCATGCAGTCGATTTCTTGCCAGAGCTCGATACGTCCCAGTGACTGACATCATCATCAGATTGTTCTTGAAGTCAAGTCAAAGTTGTCCGGATAAACTTGTATGAGGGTATTCACTGCCTTTTTAAGTGCATCAATATTCAGTCTGTACAGTGTTGGTATGGATGAGGATTCATACAATATCAAACATATGTCTGTTTTCCTTGAAATACTCCAGCTTGTGATAGAAGGTACAAATATGATGGACAATAGTGTCTATTAAAAGAGTTGCATAACGTTGTGATTTTTTCATTAGCCAGTTCAATAAATGTAAATAGATCCATTTTACACATTTTAAAACTTAGTTGTAAAGTCAGAATGCAAGTTCAGCATTTATAACAATTTTCAAATAAAATAAAACCAATTTATATAAGTTTGTTCACATATTTATTGTCTTTTTTGATATAATATTTATCATAAAATTCACTAAACACTTCACTTAAAACAACAAAATGAGTATTATTTTTTCAATAATGCACCCAATAACTAACAAAAAAAAACAATAAAGCTAAGCATGTTGCAAAATATACTCATCCTACCCCCTCAAAATTTGATTACTTAACTGTGATGAAGAAAGGTACACCTTTCAAAAGAGCTTGGGCTATAGGGTTTCATATTTTTGTTTTTTGCAAAGAGTGAAATAAATTGATTACACATTACTAGGAAAAAAACTTACATAATCCATCTGGACAAACCATAGCTCCTGGACCTAGCTCCAAAACTGTAACAGTACTTGGTATATTACCATCAGGAACCAGTTTCAGAAGTGTCAGCTGTAAATGTTGAATGAAAGATTACCTAACTAACTGACATCATTACATGTAGCTACAGTAATGAGACTAAATTCCTATTCTTGAACATCGCTTTTATTCATGCTCCTGACAAGTTCAGTCAAATTTTATATGATTGTACAGAAGTTTCTAGAACAAAATCCCAGTAAGTTAATATTTCATCAAAATTCAAATATAATTTTTTTTTCTTTTAAAGAAAAAAGAAAAATTAACTCTACTAAAACATATTTTAAAGTGATGAATTAACAATGGTTGTATGACTCAACCAAGCTAAGATCAAGTATTTTATGGTGGGAAAATCACAACTCACAAAGTGTGCAAACTCTAAATTCCCCCCTTTTTCAAGAAATTTAGTTCTTGACTTCAGCTGTCCAAAACTGGTGTTAGCTCCAGGATTAGTAGTGCTGCTACACAGATTTGTTCTGTCAGTGGTTTCAATCCAGTGGTACAAGGGTGTGTGACCAGTGATTTCAAGGATTTCACCATCTAAAACCATTCTAAAAACCAATAAGCAACTAAATGCCTTTTAAAATTAAAGAACAGAAGTAAATAAGGTTTGTGTACTCATATTTGCCTTTTTTGTTGTTGCTTTTGTTGCCATCAAGCATGGTAATGATGGTTGAGTCAATGATGATTTCATGCATGTTGGAAAGAATATTGCTAAAAACATATACAATACAACACATAATACTATTGGTGGAAAAAACTTGTCTATGACATTAAAATCTCTAGTTACTTGTTTAAGGTTTGAAATTTTAGCTTTCACTTATTTTTCAGTTAGAAATCCATTGACATTGGTGACATCAAAGCTTTCCATAAAAAGTTTCTAGTCTTCAACATGTATGCTTGCAGGGTTACGTTCAACCATGTTGACCATTATGTAGTGGTCACCCATACTTTTTTTTGCCCTTTCCTTCCAAGCTATTGTTGCCCTGTTTATGCAATATTAACAGATGTCCACTTGGTAGGTTTTACAGAGCAGATGTTCTATTGGAGAAAACTCTCACACCCCTTTCAAACATCTTGAGAATTTCCTGTAGGTACTGATCCATATACTTCTTTTCATACATATTTCCCTTCTTGGTACGTCATACTTACTTCAATATAAAGTCCTTTTTCTTGTCCATAGTAATTTCTTCTTTATGAGTTATGTTTTCCATTGTTGCTGCATCCATTAAAGTGGTGATGATTATCTAGTTTCTGTAGTGCATATTGGAGTATAAAAATCCTAGAAATAAATGACCTTACAACACCAAGTTTAGTTGTTGTCTTTTGTAATTGGACACTCAACGTTTCTTTATATAGCTGTTTGTGAGCATTCCGCTAAAACACAAACCATAACCAACAGTTACCATATTGTCAGTTATGGTTTGTGCTTTAGTGGACCGCTCATAAAGAAGCTGTCAAGCAAACCTTTGAGAGTCCAATTAAAGAAAAATAACTAATTTGATGTTATAAAATAATTTATTACTAGTATTGAAGTGATGATGATTCTTACAAATTCTTATGTCTGATTCATTCATATACATATCAGACAAATTGTGATAGTTAGAGGAAACTGCCTAATTTTTGCATGTTATTATTCTATGTTCTTTGGTGCATTATTTAATTAAATAGAAATTATTCAATGCATTACTACCACTAGTATAAAAAGATAGGGTAAAGTGTCATCGACAGATGACAGAAAAAAAAAGGACACCGAGGTAAGTACTTTATTTTTCGTTTTCATGTTTATTCTTTATTTATTATTATAAAAGTAACTAAAATGTAAACATAGGGATCCCTTTAGGTAAGTTAAGAAGAGATTAGGTAAAATGAATAATAATAATATAATAAAAATGTTTCACAAGGCATGCACGCAAGCAGCTCCACATTCCCCATGTGATTTACAACTTATAATGTTGGTGGTTACAAGGTCGGTCAAACTGTATAGAGTAAGGGTAGTTTTGTGCTTGTTAGTTTTCATGCTATAACTTTTAAATTAGTAAGCAAATGTTAATGAAATTTGGCAGATAACCAGTAAACATTACAATGCTTTCATATGCAAAATATCACATTTTTTTATTAAGTCTTTTTTTTTTCTTTTCGCATGTTGCCTATCTGTCATGCAAAGTAATATTCATTTTAAGATTAAACATACTTTTATGCATCAGAAAAGTTTGAAATTTCTCATGCAAAATCTTTATAATGTCCAGACAGTTATCAAATATTTCTTAAGAAAAACCTTTATATTTTATCTGTTATTTTCAGTAATTAATCTCCTTGCAGGTTCGGTAGATTTGACCAATCTTGCAACCACCAGAATAAATTGGGAATTAAACATAAATTATGCCTCTTTCATTCTAGAATGAACACAAATTATAACACAAAAAAATTTCTAGACGAAATAGCTTAAATCTCATAAGATTAAATGCTAATATGCATTAATTATTTTTTTTATATTGACCTTTCACCCATGCCTGGCTAACAATACAGAACTTATGATGATACAGCTCATGTGCACTCATGTTACCATATCAAATAACATAAAGGTGACCTTTGGTCTGTAAAAAGTAACTTGTCTTGGCTGTGTTTTAGTCGACTAGTATTTTGTAAAATAGAGTCACATTTCAATTATTATACATTATATATATATATATATATATTATTGCTATTTTGAAATAAGTTCTTAGTTATTTTTCCTAATACATAGAACAGTAAAGAAAGAAGTAAAGCAAACAATTATCTCTTCTAGTTATGTTCTTTGTACTCAATTGCTGCTTGACATAGGTTTCTAAGCCTTTAAAAAATTTGCACATAGAGGATATGAAACAAAATATTTTTTTTAGGTTTTAGATATACAATTGAATAACTAAAAAAGCATAAATTACTACATCAACACCATATAATTTTATCATAATTTATCAAGCCTAGCAACTAAGATGTATTTTAGTAAAAAAAATATGAAATTTTGAGCAGACTAAAGACACCCTACCTCATTGAAATATTGGTTCAAAAGAAAGAAATGGCCCCAATCCCATTAAAATTGCTGAGAAAGCCATTGGGGGGACATTCTGAGCTTCCAATTGGTTATTCATGTCATATATAGAAGTAAGTGTATATAAGGGAGTGCTTCTAAAAATGGAAGGAGGTGACAGAGGTGCCACTATGTTTTATTTATTACGTGAGCAATATCTTAGCAAATAGAAAAGATAAGAACTTCTTATTTTATATTCTAGCTTATAAATATCTGTAATTTGAGTTTCTAATTTGTATGAAACTACAGACTTAGTATTTTGACTTCACAATCATTTAATTTGAACCAGTGCTGCATTCAACATACCACATGACACAAAAATCGATGTTTATCAGTGTTTTTTAATATTTGCTTTTAAATTAAGAAATTGAGTAATACATTGTACTAAAATTTGAATTATAATCTACAGTTTGATACCAAAGTTATTGACATAAATTCATGAAATAGCAGTTGAATAAAATTTTGAATGCGAGTAAAGAAACGGGATGACATAGCCTTTCATCTGTAAACCATCTCGAAAAAGTTAATAATCTGAAAAGTGTAACTGTCCTTGACTCTTTTTTTTGACACTTTGAATATCCTTATGGGTGAAATTCTTTGACATAGCTATGGAAAACTAATTTTATTACTATGGACCAGTATCTTTTTTTTTGTTCCTCATGACATGTACCTAACATTGCAAGGTGACATTTCCTAACACTGAAAATGTATTTGCAATAGATATTATGCTTACCTTTCCTCACATATAGCTTTTCTGATTCAGTGCTCCCTCTATCTGTACAATTTTCACTAGCCTTGAAACTCCCATTTAAAATCCTGTATCCGAGTAATATTGCTGCACTGTTGCATGCAAATGAGAATGTGACAACCCTCCATCTATAGGAGTGCAACACACCCTCTAAGCATAGTTGACTCCCTTTATACTGATTATTCAATCATCATTTTAAGATTAGTCAAGAAAAGGCACACCAGAAGTGGGGAGGATGGGTGGGAAGGTAAGTATTTATTGGAAATACATTTTCAGTGTTGGAAAATGTTAACTTACATGGACATTCTTAAATTTGTAATACCAATTGAACAGTAGAAAATGTAACAAAATTATGAAACAAAACATAAGAATTTTCAGATATTACATAAAAATGTAATTAATTTGTCAGTTTTTTTTCTTTTTTATAGATGATCCATACTTTAATACATTAGCAATACTCATACTTTTATAGTTGTAAGATACATGTATTATATGTCTCAACCTAATAGAGAATATACTTAATCTGCATTTATTTTAAAACAAAATGAAAGAAACAAAAACTATTTATGAAATGTTGAACATATTTACTGATGTTGAAAAACAACTTCCATATAATGATCAACTGAAAACTGCAGTTTTAAGCTATTTCACTTACCATAATCTCAGGTGGGCTGAGAAAGGTGAAATTATGTCCCTTACCATAAATCCAGGTAGACTGATAAAGGATAAATTATACAGTTTGAAACAACAGTTCTCAGTTTGTCAATGAAACACATTTTTGATATTAAAGAGTAAAAAACAGTCACTTTTATTTTCCATATAAATCTTACTTGTTCTTTTTCTGCGGGCAAGATTGAAGAACTGGTGATAAAGATAGCTCTGGATACCCTGTGCAAAGTCAACTAATTTTGTAGAGTTTTCATATCAATAGAAGTGCATAACCAATGAAATTAATCAAATGAATGAATTATAACAAAAGTGACACAGTCAAGAAAAACATATTCATAAAAAGGTTAAAGTTATATAGGTAACAAATTTGTCATCTTCATTCAATACATTTTTTTCATTCCAAATATTTCAAGCAGTTAATTGTTACTGTATATATTAATCATCAATCCTTGATTTAGCCGAACATATGTTATAAGCATGCATAAAAATGTTATATTAAATTACATAATTTACAAAATAACATAGTTTCATAACATATAAATCCACAGATTTCATGTAATACAGTAGTACTTAAAAATAAAATGCAATCTTTGAAAATAACACTGTAAGAAATTAATGCTATATAAATAATTTACTGCTACACAAGATTAAAATCCAATTTTTAGGGGAAATCTACTGTTTTTAGTTTCATATATTCAATACAAGAATTATGATTTCTTCCCACATGCATATTTCATATTATTTGTGAATAGTAGCTAATAAAATATATAAACGAGTCAGATGAAAAGTTTGTTGTTATGGCAAGAGTTTCTTTTTATGTAATTTTTCAAATGCCCAATTTTTAGTTACTAGCTAAAAAAACAAAATAACTGCATGGAATGTTGTTGGACTTAATAAATTACTATTCATTAAAAATTTAATATATTTTTAATGTATTTCTTACTACTAAAACTGTTTCTAATCAATCTTACACCTTAAAACATTTAAAAAATTAAACTTCTTTCTAATAGACTAACACTACGTCAGAAGTGGTATCATTCTCAGGGCTATTATTCGAAATCAGGACTTAACTAAAGATATCTATATATTTTACCCAATATAAATGAAAATCTATCTCAGATTAAAAATGGATTAAGTTAACAAGGCTAGAGTAACAATTTCATTGTTCATAGTAATTCATATTGGACATTTGCCTACGATAAATCAAGACTACTTAATAATAAAAAACAAAAAACTACAAAATGTGCCAAAACATAAAAAACGTTTTGCCAAAACATTTGGAACATATAAACATACAATCAATGACTGTTTCTGTTTTTCTAAATCTTAAAATTTTTGTCCCTATCACTTACAATTAAATAAAAATTAAAATATGACAAGACATCATGCAACTCAGATAAGTATCACTTTTTTATGCTGTTAAGACTACTCAACTCTGTATATGGGAACTGTCATTTTGACCAACCTTGCAACCACCAGGTAGCTGTGAAAGTATACATACTACAACTTTTAATGTGTTACATGTACCTTCACAAAATTTAGTAAAAGTTTTAGTAAACATTACAAGTCTTCTGAACAAAAAAAATCAGATTTTGTTTATTATGTATGTTTATTAAAGATTTGCCTGTGAATTTAAGGAGTCAGAATCTGACTCTCACTGACTAGTTTGAGTGCAAGGATGTGAACTTGATGACAGTAGCAATGAATCTGTATGCTGAATAATTCAAATACTGTTGTCAGAATGAGTTAACCTTATATAGTAATCAGTATAACTCAAAATATTCTCTTTTTTGTGGTTATAAATAATCCAAGAAAAAACATCAGAGAAAATTCAGTCCAGATGCCAAGACATGAAGCCCTCTTGTTCTTCACTCCATGACCATGATGATTGTCCTCCTGTGGGAACACCTCTTTCACCATCCAATGATTCAGTCTCCCCATCATTATCGAAAAGATCCTGAGGGATTTCTCCTTATGCAAAATCAATGCATTCCTAATGAAATACAAGTTCAATGTCTCCATAGACCCTACCAAGACCAGGCTTCAACACAGAGGTGGAATCTTCATACAACCACTAGCACACGTGGACTTTGATTACCTATGTTCTTCATGGGATTCTAATCTGTCAGTTATTTGTAAACCTCCCTGATCTAACACTTACCTTTCCTCTATCTTTCTCAGTCATCAACCTTTCCATTAACACAGAAGAAATACTGTCAACTCTAAAAACATCCACAATGTACAATATTCATGCCATCCACCAGATCTGTTCCAGAACCACTGGAAATCGAACCTACTTCATGAAAATAGTAACACTGTCCAAATCAACTGCTGAACACATACTTAATAATGGTTTCTTTTAATACTTTTTCCACTTTAGAGCAGAATGACCACACCCACACCCAGCCTCTTCCAAGAACTACCCCAGCAGATCCACACTCAAACATCTGGCACAGATCAAGACAATGCCGACAACCAACAACAAATTACCATTCACCCACAAAGTTCTGTTAAACTAAGTAGTCAAGCCTGCACAACTACACCTACCAAGAAGAATACTCAATCAAGCCAGACTCTACAGAGCAACAAATATGACATATCTACATCTATAGACAGCCTTCAGTTATGTAGCCAGGAAACACAAGCAAAGATTGCAAGGAAAAACAGGAGAACCTAGAGACGACCAACCCAATCAAGACACAAGAAAAACAATCTGTTCGACCAAGTTGAACACCAAGGAATATTTCTCACCTAAGCTTGCCTTTCCTTGCCCATCTTCCATATCCAAAGACGATGATGAGTCTGACCTAGAGTACAACCGAGCCTTCCCCTCACCCATGTTAGACATTTAATCCTTCTAGTTTATTCTAGACTTAGTATAATTAATGCCATAACTGCCAATTTTGTTTATTAATCCTTGGTTTTTCTTCCTTTTGAGAATTATACAGGCGTGGTCTAGGCATTTTTATTTCAGCGACCCGGCCATCAAAGCGGGTTTTCTTGAAGTACTCCTGTGTCCCTGATGATGACTAAACCTTGTACATTTGCTGTTATGTTAAAATTATATTCAAGTTTTTCTTAATTTACCATTCAAGCCATTTCCAAGCATTATAAGTTTACACTTACAATGCTAAAATCTGGGGTTTGATTCCCTGTGATAGACAGAGCACCAATATCAAATTGTGTAGCTTTGCACTCAAACAACAACATCCTTAATATTACAAAACATTAGTCCGCATAGTATTAAAACTCTCTATTATTAAATCTCATTATTATTTGATATTTCTAATATATTTGTTCTTATTCATTCTAAGATAATTAATTTCCAAAGAAATATGGTAATGTACATTAACATGTGATGACATAAAAAAATTATCTGCATGACAAAAATGTACAACATTAGATAAAGTTATGAAGAAAGTTACCTTTCAGGAACATTAGCAGGTAAAAATTCTGCAGCAGCATAACTGGACTCCATAACTAACCAACTGTTTTTGAAAGTCAAGAAAACAATTGTTAATGATAATTTGTTGATTTATTTTAATAATGAATATTGGAAACACTAAGTTTACATATAATGAAGTATATAACAAAAGAAGGGCAATGCTAACTCATTGACTGTTGCTGCTCTAAATGCACGGGAAAGTTTTTCAAGCCGTACACAGTATACAGCACACTCACATTCAACTGCTGGAGGCGAACTGTTCCCTATACGTAAATCAGCAGTCAATGGGTTAAACAAGCCATGTTAGGGTAGGCTTATACAAAGTCCAAAATTAGAACAAATATAAGTTCTGCTAAGAAGAAGAAAAAAAAAAGCTTTTAAATCTGATAGAAAAGAAAGCATTTTATCAAATATTATGCAACACTGGATCAGGTACAAAATCTTAATCAAAACATTTTACATGTTGTTTCATCATATCCAGGTACACAGTTTCATACCTACAATTAATCCTTTTATGATTTGAAAATATTCCAACACATTTGCCTTCCCTGTCAAGTATAACACCCTCCACAGACCGCTTCAAGTAGTAGATTCCTCCAAAAACAGCACATAACCTACAGAACGTTTTGATCCATTAGAAAATTATAATAAAAGAAGCACAGTTGTGAAAAAACAACAAATGAAAACTGACTTGAAAGAAACACATATTGTGATAATATATAGTGTTGATAAAGATGGAATAAATATTAAGAGACACATCTAGAGATTTTAAGGTCTATTTACATGTGAAAACTAATGAAAAATATTGTAGACAACAATTCCCCATTAACAGTCTTGAGGAAATGAACAACAGCAAGAATGCTGCCTGTCTTCTGAATTCTGATCAAGCAACAAACCTAAATCTTACAGAAGATCAGTTATTGGGAATATATTCTAAATTCTAGTAACAAGAATTTTTGTTTTCCAATTTTTCCTTGCTCATCACTAATGATAACCATTTTATGATTAAAGAGCAGTATAACTAAATAGAGATCTCATACTTGCATCAAATTGGTTTATCCATGAACCCAATTCACATACTTAGAAGCTTAAAGTATAATATATAAAGTTTAATTACATTAGTTTACCAATTGAAGTTTACATATGTAGAAAAACAGTGAATTCATGGGAATCACTGTATTTGTGAAATTGAAACAGGCTAATTTTGCTAAAATAACCAAACTAATTAATTCATTTAAACTTAGTTTACTTTTTCTAAAATTATTTTTTTATATTACCAATTAACAAGAGTAGTAAATCATAAATTCAATGTAAAGAAAAATAAAACGGAATGCAATTTGAATTTTCTAGAAAATGAAAGACAGAATTCACTATTCAAATCTGTTTTCAGCCATTTAACAGATGGTTGCTTGTATACTGGTCTTTCTTTAGAAAATTATGGGTTAAAGTTAAGCAAGTATTTAAAACTAAAATACAGCATAAAAAGTGATTAAAAATACACTACAGTTTATAAATGATGAGAAAATTAATATCTGTTTCTTTATAGTGTATGTATGTTTGTATTTTGCACAAAGCTGCATGAGGGCTATCTGCACTAGCCATCCCTATTTTAGAAGTGATAAACCATTACATTATAATGCCCCCAATGGAGAAAGGGTTCGATGTTGGGACTGAACCCCAGACACACAGATTACAAGCCAAGTGCCATGATAGGCCTCATTTCTTTGCAGATCATAACTTAAAAATGATAAAAAATTTGTAATCTAATTGTATTATATTACATAAAAATTGCTTAAAAAATGCAGTAACTATGAATTTCTGTGTAACTGATCTGTTGAAATGGAAACTTGGAAACCACCATCCTCATACACTAGATGGTTTATGGAAAGCATGCAGGGATGATGGGTGTGTTTTTGACATGATAGCCTTACAATGGAAACTGCACTGCAAGGTACTGTTAAGATGTATGGTCATCAGACAGAGCATGAAAATATGTAGAGAGGCTCTAAGCTTGTTTAAATATAACATACTTACCTTCTTTATAATATAGTTAGCCTAGAATTAAAATGATGATACTTTGTCATATGATCGTTGAATGGCCTAAATTTTAATAATTATTATTATTGTCATTTTATTGTTTTAAAGAAGTAAAATTACAACAATATAATTTTTGTCTTGAACAAATAGCACTAAACTTTCACATTAAGACTGAATAAATAGATGAGATTTTGAAGAATGTTATTTAATCACACATACAAAGTATGATAATGTAGTAAAAAAAATACACCTTAAGCACTTAGTTCAGTATACTAATTAAGATATTTAAAGTTAAATATGCTTAAATATAAGAAACAAATGTGAACTAATCAAGTTTTGTTGACTTACACTAATTTTAAACTACAACTTTAAGTTTTAATGGCATTTTATCTTCAGTTGTTCACATTATACAAGGAAAATGGTCAACTTTTACAGTAACATCACACTACATAATATAATAGTCTATACTTGGTGTATTCCCTCGTCTTATAGTTGTGGGTGTTTTCTTTTTTTATTCTGGTAGAGCAAGAACAAGTAAACTTGTACATAACAAAGGAAACAAAGCCTTGATTCAAACCATTTTAACTTTAAAAAAATTTCTAAGGGACATGTATCTTGTACCTTGGGATATACTTTGTCTGAGAGATTGGTTTTATTGTCCTGATACACTTTGTCAGAGAGATTTGTTTTTTGTCCTGATACACTTTGTCTGAGAGACTTGTTTTTTGTCCTGATACACTTTGTCTGAGAGTTTTGTTTTTTCTCCTGATACACTTTGTTTGAGAGTTTTGTTTTTTCTCCTGATACACCTTGTCTGAGAGACTTGTTTTTCTCTCCTTATATACATAGCATGTTCCTCCATGTACAATAATTTTACAACTAATGGTTTCTTCTTAAGAGTACACCATATAATCTGAGTGACAATAGTTTAGCTCATATATTTAAGTACTATGTTAAAATCACTATTGAACTAATTTAATTCTAAAACATTAATAACTGCTTTAATAACATTAATAACTAGTCACAAATGTAAAATATCTTAACTAACCTAATATTTAAGGCAACAGGGATTTTAGACATCTTTGTGAAAAGACAAACAAAAAACTAAAATTGTATATTGGATTGCTTACCGAAGTATAAAATATGAAGTTTAAAATCAAATTCACCTCTTACTGTGAATTTAATACCTGACTTTCATTACTTTTTGTCAGTTATTACATAAAATAAGATCACCTGCAAAAGCACTGGGGCAATTCTCCACATCCATAAAGAGGCCAGAGGAAAGGGCTGTTACCATAGTGGCCCAGGGATTCTAGAAACTTCTGGGTAGCAGTTAGGCCCTAAAATATATAACTTTCAGAAATTATAATGCATACTCTGTGATCTATTAATATCTCAACATGCTTGACATTGGATTTTGGTTAAAATTTACAACCACAGTGACAGTTTTCCACAAACAAATCAACTGATAAGCCACCTTTTTAGAACACCTACCTAAGATTGAGTGGGCCTTTTTTTTGCAGTAATAATTTGAAATAGCAGAGACTAAACAAGCTTATGATGTATCTTGATTAATTGCAATGATGAATTTAATTCCCAAGTTTATCCTCAAAATGCTCAATTGGGTTGATATCCAGGGATAGTGTTAGTCATGATAGATAACTGAAGTCACTGTAATTATTTTTGAACTAATTTTGTAAAATATGTATATAGAAGCTCAATGAATAGTTGAAATAGCATTCTGAAATATCCATTATGTTGAAAGGAATCATTGCTGTTGGGATAACACATCATACACAATAACACCATCTCCAATAGAGGGCAATACTACTGGAACAACACATATGGTTTTCTTCATATTTTAACTCCACAGTCAATATATTTTTGCATTGTAAATCACAAGCTTTCAAACACTTTAACTTTGTCTACAACCCACTTAAAACAAGAAATAGTGATAGAGATTTTTTTTTTAAAAATTGTGGTCTTTAAATGACTACAATAAACTTTTTTTGTAAACTGGTTGATCAGTTTTAACTACTGCAAAAGGGCTGAATAATATATAATGTAGCAGTTAGCCAATAATTCTAGGACAGTGCATGTAATTAGCTGCTATACCACATCACAGTGGCAAATTAAAAAAAAACATTATAAATTCCTGAAAAACAGTAAGTGTAATATTGCATGTGAAGTTGTTACAGACCCATAAACTTGGTAAAAGCATCTTTTGTGTTCAAGCCATAAACTGCTTACATTAATCATTAACTCTTTCACTGCCATATAAATATATCTAAACAAAAAACACCTTAGGTGTGAAAAAAAGATGCATCCAAAAAAGGACTGAGTGTGCAACTTAAAGGAATGAAATCAAAATTGGCAGCCAAACTTGTAGCTGCACTTAGAGCATTGCAAATATTCATTCATTAGTTAGCCAGGCTGCATTTTTTGTTCAACTTGGGGCATGATGGTGATTAAAACAAAATACTCTTATAATGACTGTCAGAGGTTTAGCGTGCATACAGATATTGTGCTCTGGAATACTGTTCATCACAACTTGGCTTTATGCATGATTGTATGGCATTAAAATAGAATGAAATCATGTAAATTTACATATTATGACCACCTGAGAACAGAAATTTCAAGTATATTCTTATGGGTTTTCATTTTAAAATTCACAATATCAAGAGATGAAATAAAACTGAGTTCTAAGTAAATCTTGGAAACTGAATAGCCTCATATTATATTTCAAAATGAAGAGTACAAATGTGTATGTGTAATGTGAAAGGTTTTTCTGTTAATTGTTTTTATTTCACTCTTAAACTTCTGTTTTTCTTATATTTTCAAGAAGGGATACTTAGAAATGTCATGAAAAGATATCTAATGATGGAATCTCCAATAACTAACTGACAATTCTAGGACAAATATTCCTCATACAATGTTATGGAAATAATTTTGAGATAAAATTTAAATGACAAAAATAGATACAGAACAATGAAGACATAATGGAAAACGAATGTGCAAACAAGAGAATTTCATGGTAGCTAAAATGAAATATGTAAATGTAACCAAGAAATTGTCAGAATTTCACTTCTTATTACAGCACAACACATGCATCTGTAATACATGTGATGAACAATTTACTTACCTGCAACGTTGGCACTGAGTCATCAACCATTGCTATTGCATAACAAATATAGTGCACCACACTAGGAGTCAGTTTTCTTGATTTCAAAAACTCTACAAAAGGTCGGCCTTCAAAGCCTTCGGAAATAAAAACAAACAAACATGAAATGACTAGATACTAAATTCCATATTTACAAATATCCACTAGATTTTTTACATCAGTCATTTTACTGTACTACTGCTAGACAATTTTAGTTCTGAGTGGAATGAAAATGAGATTTACACATAAACTTTCCTAAAATTAGCAACAACACAAAATAACAGGAGAGGTTAAAAGTTCTTTTTAATCAATATAACTCAATTGTTTAGAACTGCTATCATACAATAAAATTGACTAGGTACATTCAAAAACTACAGACCCAATAAGGTTGAATTCAAAATTTTGGCTGCATTGACAAGTGCATTCCATCAGCTTTGTATTTGAACATTTATATGCAAATCTATTTACTGGCTGTAGATGCAGTCCATAAACCTTGTAATCATGGATACAAGTATTAGAATTCAAGTGTGAGTGCAAATCAGAGCAATTGATAATGTAGGTCACTTTTATTTATTTTTTACTGAGTGTATGACAGCATGGGAATTTAAGAGGTTATTAAGGCAATTATTCAAGTCATCAATATCATCTTGACTGGACCGGCTATGTGTTTCAACTCAGTCATATGTTCAACTAATTATCCAAAATTTGTAAGAATAGTGAAAAATTTAAGAAACCTATCCTACAAGACTAATTTTTAAAGCATTTAAATGTATGTGAGATTGTCCAAGGATAATCAAGCTCACAAAGTTTATTACTCTCAATGATTAAAATTTAATTTTACTAATTTAAACAATAATTAAATAAAACACTTTTGTAGTTATTTGTTGCTGTCTTTTCTACCCATTTTGTTTTTAATTTCTTTTGCCAATTTTTGCTTTGATAACTGATAAATACTTGCAAGTAAATCTTAAACTCTACAAAAACCTATAACCTGTTATATGGCAGTAAAAGAGAAAATGTTAAATTTAAGCAAAACATGTTTGTTACTTCCCAATGCCAAAATCTGAGGTTTAAGAAGTATAAAAATAGAAAAGAAGTACTTACAGTACTATACATATACATATATTGCGTTAAATGTATAAAAAAAAAGGAATTCAAAGGCTTAGTGTCAATAGTACATATTAGAGCAAGTGCACCACCAAATTAAAAAAAAATGTGTGCATACACTATCAATATTATTTTACTTGTTCACAAGACTGTTTCATTGCTTAAATGTTGTGTTAGTAAATTTCCACTTCCTCAGTCTACCCATTGGAGTTATGAAAGTTTTCTTTATGTTTACACTTAATAGATATGCATGTGTCTTGGAATTGTCATTGACTAAAATAGTAATTGATCTAAAATTTTGGCAAATAAAAAACTTCTTGTCACTCTCTACACATTTTATTCTCAGTAAGCAGCCAATGCAAGGCACGGTAGTTTTTTATTTTTAAATTAGTTTAATCTGCTGTCAAAAAGTTAAGTTTTATCATGTACGACTTTAAAAAATTTTCCATTTAAGACATGCATTTTAATTTTGTTAAATTTATATTTTGTTCACATTAATCAGTAATTCATATTTACAATGTATAGAACTGAAATGAATGTAAATTTGTCATTTTCATAGTTTTATGGAAACATAATAGTTGTTTTTTCAGGGAATTCTAAAAACTTTCAGCTTTCAGGGTTCACTTAGGTTCCTGGACCCTAATTTTTCTCAACATAGGCACAGCTAATTTTCTAGTGCACCACCAACTTATGCAGTCACCCTACTTCTGTGCCCCCAAAAAAAGTATGAAGCATTACACATTAACTCTACAGTCTTTATTTTAATTTTTTGTCCTATGAAAAAAAAAAGAAAAAAATGGACGAATAAAAAAAATCAAAAAGGTAAGCAAATAACACAAAAGAAAAAGAAAAACTGTTGTTGTTTTTCAAAAGTTTATGGTGTCAATGAATTCTTTATTACCTTTGAAGCTGAACAGGATTACAGCAGATCTACTAAACATGTTGATTATCAGGGATAATTGCTAACATTTACAAACTTGTAGTGAGTCTGTGTGTGTAATGCATTGTATAGTAGCAATTATTTTTGAATAATGCTTGTTATAACTGCAGATTGATGTACAGGTAATATGGCAGTTGGTGACATAAGCAATAATAAGGAAGGCACTATAAACATCATTACAAAGGTGTAGCACCAACTACCAAGGGGTTTTTACTTGTAAAACATCATTGATTCTACACCACACCTCGTACGAAATGCTGTATAATCAATATTTGGCACTTAATAATCCTGGGTAGGTTAACAGACTTCTTCATCAGGATTCAGTCCATGTTTTGGACCAGGGTGAGTCAGGTTCAGAGCATTGACCTCTTCCTCCCTCTCAGGGAATTATTTTGTTTCCACTGTTACTGAATCCTAGGTAATAACCTTTGTTACATTGTTGTATTGCTCATAGTATGTTAAATTTTGTCCACTGGCCACAGTTTTAATTAACATACCCTTTTCTTTCCATGTCTAATTCATGAGGTAATATTTACTCATATATTTTCATTAGATTCACTTATGCATGATTGCACTATTATTCCATATTCACAATACAGTACAACTTAGCAGTCATACACACACACATAATCCTATTTTTACATAGAAAACCCTTTTAAAATAGAGCTACATTTGTGTCTAGGATTCAGTTAGCCTAGTACTGTTTGGCCTGTAAGTTTCTTATTTGTGATGTTTAGAGCAGAGAGGAGAGGTACTTAGGGCTTGGTTCATCATGTTTTATGTAACTCTCTAGTTTGCTGATCAGTTCATTTTTAATAATATTTTTCTTATAGTATTGAAGCGAGTTATCCAGGAGTCTGTCTAATAGTTTTGACACGTTTGAATACTTTTGTAGAAATACAGAGTTTGTTGATCATGGGACTCTAAGTGGGACATATTTTCTATCCTCTGCAAGTCTAATACTGACCTTCAATTATTGATTAAAGAAACCCTCCACATCAAACAGCATTCTCCAACACTGAACAACATGCAGTCTTCATTTAAATTATACATTTTTTAATATGTTCGTATTACTGATTTTATTTTTATTTTTTTTGTTGTGTTTTCTTGCTGTAGTTTCTCCTGATGATTACTGTTTTGTGTTATATGTTTACTTATCATTAAATTTAGCATTTGTACTTTAGCAATGTCCAAAACTTATGTAAATTCATTTTATTTTGCTTTACATACTGAAGATGG